CAGGTGAAGCTGAATTTTCAAATGCGCCACCCTTGGGTATGGGACCAGCATCAGCTGATGGGGTGCCTCTGTGAGAAGGCACCCCTTCTGCGATGAAGCCTGACCAAGGGTGGCTCTGGGCCAGATGGGAAGCCCAGGGCTTTGTGCAAAGGCAGGGGAGTGTACCTTTACACCAGGGGGCACAGCTTGATCAGGGCAGGGCTCAGGCTGGATCTGAGCACCCCTTGTCTGCTATGCCCAGCACCCACCTGCACTGCCCAGATCGTCCCGCCTTTCCCACAAGGACAGCTTTGCTCTTCTGTGAGGAGGAAGAAACAGAGAGTAAACTTAGAGCCAGATGGTCTTTGTTTGGTAAAAAATCACTCTGAGCTACACAAATGGAAAGTGAGCAGGCATCCATGGTTCCTGGCCTAGGGCAGCTCCAGCCCAGCTGTGAATGGGGCCCAGGAGCCCCTGCGGACTCAGCCACCCGGCAGAGCATTAGGCTTTGGAGAACAATAGCTGAGCAGGCAAACATTGGCCCAAAGAGTTATATCCTTGGAGGTCAGTGAAAGGTGCTCTGAGAGCACAGGCAAAGCGTAGACAAGCAAGGACTTGCCCCAGTGGGACAGGCGACCATCAACTGCAGAGCCAGTGGTAGACAGCAGCGTCTCGTGCCTGCAGCCAGGCAGCTGTGGGTATGGACTGAAAGAACATCCAGGTTTGCTACATTTCTCACTGTCTCTCCACTGAACACACCAGGGATCAAAGACTCCAGACAAAGATACTGGATTTGCCGTTACTTAAACGCCTACATGCAACAGGGCAAGGGATGCTGGAGAGATGAATCAGGGCACCAAGAAAGAAATGAGACTGTTTCTGCACATCGTTTTATTAAGTGGCCCATTCACTCATCCCTCCCTTTTTTGAGGTGCCTCACGGGGCTCTCTGCTCTGTGCAGCCCAACGTGCAAAACGAAGAGTCATTGCTTAAACACAGCAAACACCTCTTGGCCCAATGCATCCGGCACAGCACATGGCATATAGAACTTGCTGAAGGCTTCCAGAAGGCATACGCCCTGGGTTCTTCAGTCACTAAACATTGGGCTTATCAGAAGAGCACATCACAACCCACTGACAGTGTTGTAGTCACTAATGCAGGAAAAGATGGGTCTGAAAATTAAGAGAATACCAGTCCATATACCAAGAAAAGCTTATTTAAGGATTTTATTTTTTCAAATGGGTAAAATATCACTCCATTTACAAAGAAATGCCAGATTTTAAATATCCAGAACTTTTGTTGAATTCCAGAACCATGAGTTCAAAAACCACAAAGCAAAATCAATCTGGATTTTTCTAAAGCAAAAGCCTCAAGTTTTTATAAGCTCAGTAAAAGGGCTTAAGTATCAATTCTGATGTTATTTAAGTTATGGTTTTTAAATGTACTTATCTGAATATATTTGGGTTTCTTCACATTTTATACGGATTTTAAAATATAAAACTAGTTTTTGTTGACAAAGCAATGCATTTTTATCATGTGAAGAAAAATAACTGCTCAAATCACAAGTTAAACAGAAGCCCCTAAAGTCTGAGATGCTTTTCTTGACAAAAATCTAGTAGGAAAGCACAGACAGGAACAGTGTAATCTCTCCTGATAACCCAGTAGCATCAACACAGTGCTCACACAGAGGTCTTTAAAAAATATGCTTCATATTGGACTGATGCTTATTGCCATTTCTGGCAAAATTTTCGAGTTTTTAGCTATTCTTTCATGGAGAGAAGAATGAAGAGGAAGTAGGGATGGGGTGACAGATGCAAGCAGCCTGGGAGTGGATGGTTGTTTTTGGACTGAGGCTCTTCTTTGACAACGCATGGCACCTTCCAGTCTCCTCTTCCTTCCCCTCTCCACCCCCTCCCAGCCATACTGCAAAACATGATGTCCCCTCCCCACTCAACACTCTCCCAAAGGTGAGTTAACTCATTGTTAGAAATTAACCCTTAGGTGGGGTGCCTGGCTGGCTCTGTCAGAAGAGCCTGCAACTCTTGATCTCAGGGGGTTGTGAGTTGGAGCCCCACGTTGGGTGCAGAGATTACTTAAAAAGAAGAAGAAGAAGAAGAACTTAATCTTAGGAAGGACTTACTGACCAGTAGCTAGAATCAAGAATGGGAGGGAGAGGTGCCATGTGGGAGGTGGCATAGCAGAGGGACCACCAACAGGGGTGTGAGAAGGTTCTAAAGGAAACCCTTCAACCTTACGGTTGCCCAGGACAACCCTGGCCACAGCATCACAATGCACATGGCAGCAAGCTATGTTGACATGCTGTTCACAAGCTCTGCTTGTACACCCAATGCCCAGGCTGGCCCCGATGCCAATGAAATCAGACTCCCCGGGGGAGGGACCCAGCCATAAACTGTTGTGTTGTTGGTGGTGTTTCAACTCCCCAGGTGACTCCTGTGTGCAACCAACTTTGAAAACCAGTGTCAGAAAATAGGGCTTCTCAAATGTTCTGTACCTAAAAACAACCTGGGAATCTGGGAATTGCAGATTGGGATGAAGCTGGTCTGGGGTGGGGTCTGAGATTCTGAAGGGGAGGCCCATACTGCTGGTCTGGGCTAGTTCTGGTAGGACCACATAGGATCTAGCTCTGGATATTGCCCATGTGGGTGCAGAGCTGCTGGGGAGGGCCTGGAAATTGGGCTGCCCTACACCAGCCCACGCAATGTTTTCCCAAGGTGGTGTAACGTTCCCACTGGGGCTCTAAGACAATTCTGTTATCCCAGGCCTGTCATCTCACTGCTTCTCTGACATGGATGCAGACGCTGCAGGATTCTGTGGAAATCCTGTGTGTGTGTCAGTGAGGGGCCGGCTCATTCTTTTTCTCTCTCACTCTAAGAAGTGCGGGGAGCTCCTGGTCACACTTAGCCGGCTCTTAAAGAAATGCAAGGCTCAGTTCTGAAAATGGAATACAGTAATTTAGAAGAAGTTCACTCTTTTACACGTGGATCAGCATCCTGGGGTGCCGGGGACAACTCAGCCGAAAGTTGTCACCTCCTAACATCCTTTAAGAGCACACAGAAAATTCAGAGTTCTTGGAAGTAAGATAACTTTACTTTAGATTGAAGTCCATAGTTCACATTACGTGTACTTTGCACATTCACATTTAAAATTTCTTTAGTGCCCTTTTTCTGCACACAGTCCATAATTTCTATCTATGAAGATGAAAAAATGATGATAAAAGCTATGCTTGGGCGCCTGGGTGGCTAGTTGGTTAAGCGACTGCCTTTGGCTCAGGTCATGATCCCGGACTCCTGGGATGGAGTCCCACATCGGGCTGCCGGCTCAGTGGGGAGCCTGCTTCTCCCCCTGACCCTCTCCCCTCTCATGCTGTTTCTCTCTCTCTCTCTCTCTCAAATAAATAAATAAATAAAATCTTTTTTAAAAAAAGCTACGCTTATTTTATCTAGTCACCAAATTGACTAATTTTTCATTGATTCTTTAGAGTCATCTGATAGTTGATTTTTGTAAAAATCAATCAAGACTATCGCTGGGTCAAGTTCCGACCCGCTGAGACATAATAAGCAGGAGGTAAACTACATTCAACTCAATGCTTTTCACAATATGAATTTGGCAGAAGGCTCTTTTCTCAAATACCATAACCTACATCCCACTACCTGTATTTAACAATTCTGACCGGCTTTATCCAACATGATCTGCAGAGTCAGATTAACAACACCTCCGATACTGTCTAAGTATACACACTGTATGGTGAAACAATATTACAAGCACAAGAAAATGGAGGGTTCTGATGGAAAACAGAGCTAGTTAGCTGGAATGCAGTCAGAGATATGGAAATGTGCCTTTTTTGAACAAGAAACTTGGCTTCAGGTAGATGTGAGGTTGAGTCAGAGCTCAAAGGCCTGACCTCAGAGCACAGAGCCTGAAAGGGGTCATGGCGGATGGCGGTGGAGGGTGCACACCGCCGCGAGGGCCTCTGGCTGCTAGGGGTAGTTGTGATGTTAGCTTTTATTTCCAGCTTCCATGCATCCTCCCTCGACTGCAACTCGGAAAACAATCCCTGGGCACTTAACAAATCGGTGGACTTTTAAAAACAGTTCTGCAGTTCTTAGGCTAATGCTTTGTTCAAGAGCATTTAAAAATGATTAATTATTTAATCCCCATAACCTCCCTGTGTGGTAGTTCCACACACTCATTCCCACTTTAAGTACCGAGATACGAGAGACAAGGGTAAGTGGTTTGCCCCACGTTACACATAGCGCAACGCTCGCAGCACCCGCCCTCGGCCGAGTTCCTGGTTCTGCCGGTCCCGGTGCACACAGCAGCCCGAAGCCGCCGCCGTGAGCCCCGCGCAGGGGGGGGGGGGGGGGGGGCGCGGCCCTAGGCAAGGGCCACGCCGATCGGCGCAAACGCAGAGGTGCTGGCTCGAGTCTCGGTCAAACGGCAGTGAGAACCAGAGGAGCACACAGCTCCGCCAAACTCTCAGCACCACCTGCCTGGGCTTTTACAGGGCGGAAAAACTCAGACCCCTGGTGCTCTGACCTGCAAACCCCAAAGAACTCTTTTATTTCAGAAGCACGAGCGGTTAGGAGGGTTTCCAAGACCTGCACTGACCCTAGCCCCCAGAGTGAGGGGACCGCACCCTTCCGCGGGACCAAAGTCTCTTCCTGACGGACGAGCCTAAGAACCAGAGAGGCCGGTGCTCCCGGCACCGCACCGCCGCGCGGCCGAGCTCACTAACCCCGGAGGCTGCACCCTCGCTCTCGCTCGGAGAGACGCGCGCCCACCCGGCGCACGGACCGCAGCCTGGCTGGAGCATCCCCGGCCAAGGGCCAGAGCCGCGGGCAGCAGAGCAGGAGGAGGGCGCGGGGGAGTTCAGCTTCGCCCTCCCCTGCCCTCCCGCCAGCCGCTCCCCTCCCGCCGGCGTCCTGGGCTGGCCGCGCGTCCCGCCGCCACCTGCCCCGGCCGGCCCTCCCCCGGTCCCCAGCGCCCCCGAGCCGCCTTACCTGAGCCAGAGATGTGGACCCGGAGCGGGCGGCCCCTGCTGGAGCACGACGATAGGTCGCTCTGGGAGCGGCCGCGGGGGCTCGGGTCCCCCGGCAGCTTGCGCGGGGCCGTCGCCGGCGGCGGGGCGAGCTTCTGCGGCTCGGGGGCTTCGGCCGCTGCCTGCCCCGCGGGCCCGCCGGGGGGCTCCGCGGAGCGTTTGCCTGCCTCTGCCATCGGCTCCGGGCGGCGGCCGGCCCGGAGCGCGGGGTGGGGCCGGCGCCGAGGGCTGCGCTGCCGGGCGCGGCGACCCCGAGGCAGCGCCAAGGGCGGGGAGGCTGGACGCTGGGCGTCGAGAAGCTCGTGGGGAGGGCGGGAGGAGGAAGAGGACAGAAAAGTTTGCACAGGAAGGAGCCGCCTACAGCCGGCTCTCGCTCCGGCGGGCGAAAGCCGCAGGGCTCGGAGTGGGCCGCCCTCGGTGCCCGCGAACCTACCAGTCTGCTCCTCCCCCAAGCCCAAGCACTGCCCTTTGCTAGAAGGCGGCGGTGGGGTCCCCTCTGGCCGCGCGCTGGACACCCAGCAAGCGGACCTCAGGGAAGTGGCGTTTGGGCTTCAGGAGCTGGAACGCAAAGTCAGGGTTAATGCCATTTCCATTCATTTGGGGTGGGGGGGATGTCAGGTACACACACCTCGCCTTGTGATGGCACAGAAATGGCCATACCGAGTTGACGGGTAGGAAACTGCGGCGCCAAAGGACGCTGGACTTGCGGGTGGGTTAGTGGAAGATCCTGGAGTCCGTCAAGTCAAGTCCAATGCCCTTCTCTTCTCACGTCTAGCCCTCAAAGCCCTTTTCCACGCAGACTGTTGCGTTGGCCACACTGCTGGGTTTCTGTCTGCTGGGTAAACTCAAAGGTCATGTTTAAAAGGTCAGTCTTCTAAGAACTGAATAAATAACAGATTTGATTACTGAGTCTATGCTTTCTAATGGAAAGACAGATCTCCTGGCCCCTATGCATTGGAAACATCTTAGTTGACACCATGCCTTGCAGGATTTTGCGAACAGGGCAGCGGAGATTTTGCTGATTCGGCTGGGTATTGTGCAAGCTAGACTTTATCATCACCTTAGGTCCCTGAGTTGTGACTTGCCCAGAAGGGCAAGGTTGTAAATCAGGCTCAAGAGTCACCTGAAGAGTCATTCCTGAAAACTTATGGCAAAAGAAGAATGCCCCTGGGTTCACTCACAGGCCGAAGAGAGGCAGCAGGAAGAGAAGGAGATTTGGGGAGGGGGGGACGTCAGGGTGAGCCGTGCACATTCATTGACACACATGCCCATATTTCAGCTGCTATGTCACACACTTTGCCCATATTTTATCCTTTAATAAGAAAAACAACCCAAGCAAGAGGAAGTAAGAGAAAGTTGGGACAGAAATGAGGGGTGCAAGCTATGGAGGTACCTCACCATCCAGAAAGGCCTTTGTAGCAGCTAGCTCATGACAGTAACAACAGCTCACCCTTGATAATTTAAAATGTCTTTCACCTACAATTTTCACAGCAACTCTGCGGGGAGGGTATGATTATTCTAGCTTTACTGTGAAAACCGTCCAAATAGAGTTCTATTTCCACCCAGTCGGCCATGCTTGCTGGCCCTGCTCTAAACATTTCCTACTTTCCCACCTCTTCAAAGTTACACACCTCCAAGTGAGACTTGACTTGTTGGGAAGTAGAGGACAGAAAGAAAGATGTCCCAGCTTCTGAGCACTGATTTGCATTGTTTCAGTAGATAGGTCATCAATAGGATGCCTCGCAACTAGATTGAGTTTCTCACTCTCCCCGAATAATCAACGTAAGACGCCAGTGGCATTTCTCATCATCATCATCTGCTATCCCATGTATTGTATCTGACTCCTTACGCCCCCTTTCTCAGCAGCTAGCTCCCCCTTGCAAGATGCCTGCTCTCTGGGGCACACATCCCTGTTCCCTGCACGTGGGTCTCACCCCGCATGGCTTACAGCATGAATGCAACCACCATCCTTCAGGGGACTCCTGTTTCTCCCTTCTCTGCTTTATCCTCTACGTCATCTCTTGTGAAGAGAAATAAATGAGTAATTAAGTAGTTCAGAACACAGAAGTCCTCCCTGGTGTATTATTCAGTTATTCAGCAATTTACCATTTCGGCTGTTATTCAGTAAATACACAACTGAGTGCCTTTGTGGGTCAGGCGCCCCATGCCTCCGAAAAGCCTCCTGACCCTACGTTCCTCCGCTCATTTTCCCCTCGCAGTCCACCTTCTAGAGAGCGTAGCATCTGCTTGCTAGTCCCGTGTTCTTCCGCATCCACTCCCTGACTCTCGTGTGTGACTTCTACCCGCACCACCAAACAAGTGGAACCACTTGGGCCATGATCCCTTTTGAGCACCTAGTTGTCAAATGCACCGGGAACCTCTCGGGTCTGACTTAATCTGACCCCTGCTGCAGCTCTTGACACTCTGGACCACTGTCCCCTTTCTGGACTCTGCTTTATTTATTTATTTGAGAGAGAAAGAAGGAGTGTGTGGAGGGTGGGGAGTAGAGGGAGAGAAAGAATCCCAAACAGACTCCATGCTGAGCGCTGAGCGTGGATTCTGCCCCAGCCCGACCTCAGCACTCTGAGGTCATGACCTGAGCTGAAACCATGAGTTGGAAGCTCAACCCACTGAGCCACCCAGTGCCCTGGATTACCTTTTTTTTTCTTTTCTAGATTTTTATTCATTTATTTGACAGAGAAAGAGAGAGAAAGAGAGCACCCAGGCAGGGGGAGCGGGAGAGGGAGAAGCAGCCTCCCTGCCTGACACGGGGCTTGATCCCAGGACCCTGGGATCATGACCTGAGCTGAAGGCAGACGCTTAACCAACTGAGCCACCCAGGTGCCCTTTATAGTTGTAATTCTATTGTGCTGTCTTCCCCTGCCCTCCACATATACACAAATTTCCATTTATGAGACTTTCTATATAAAGCATGCACACAACAATATGATATAAAAGTTTCGTAGGAAATACCCTTCCCAAATACACGGAATCAGAAATGAGTGTCTTTCACAGACAATATTGTTTCCTTAACACAGGTAGCCGAAATTAGCATGAGTGAAGGAAGGGGGGCGGATCAAAGTGATATCTGAAAAGAAGTGTCATTGATCAAAATGGATGATACACGGGGGGCCTGGGTGGCTCAGTTAAGCATCTGCTTTTGGCTCAGGTCATGATCCCAGGGTCCTGGGATCGAGCCCCGCATCGGGCTCTCTGCTCGGCGGGAAGCCTGCTTCTCCCTCTCCCTCTGCCTGCCACTCCCCCTGCTTGTGTTCCCTCTCTCACTGTGTCTCTCTCTGTCAAAAAAATAAAGAAAAAAATCTTAAAAAACAAAATGGATGATACACAATCAAAATGAAATGATGGAAAAGCAAGGAATCTAGGTAATAAACACAGCTTGGTAACAACAACAACAAATTGAAGATAAAGGACCATAATATGTGAACGTAGGCCTGCATTTAAGGTTGCACTGAAAAAGAAAAAGAAAAAGAAGAAATAGGAAACTAATTTTGATGACCTCCAGGGTTTCTTCTGGTCTGAGATTTGATGGCTCTAGGAGAATTTTCATTTGTATTTGTTTTAAAATTGAAGATGAAATTGTTTTATGAGAGAGGCCAAAGCTGGTGTATAGCTTTGAGCCCAAACTACCATTTCTCTGTATGGTACTAGGCTGCAAAAGTAAGCACCTTCCTCTTTCTCCCCTCCCCGCTTTGCCTCCCTCCCTTTCTTCCTTTCTCGTGCTTGACACTAAACAGCTACCCTGTCCTACTGTCTAGGCTCTGGACTAGGCACAGAGCTAAAGGAATCTCTCCAATCTCAGACTAACAGCCAAGGAGACAAGGCATACCCACTACAGCGAGGACACAAAGGAGACAATCATTACCCTCTTGTACGAGTCAGGAAAAACTTCAAGTGAGAGGACACAAGAAGGAGGTCCTAAAAGACAGAGTGGGGGTGAAAAAGAGAAAGGGGCAGGGAAAGCATGGCAGGCAGAGAGAGAACCATGTACAGGGGCTCAGGCTAAGCAACAGTAGAGAGACGGAGGGGGACATGAGTCTGGCTGGGCCTTAAGAGGAGAGTGGGGAAACGGTGGGATATTAAACAGAAAGGGTCATCAAAGGATTTAAGCAATGTTGCAACATGATCAGAGTCATTATCTTTTGCTTCAATTTTGATACCTAAATTTGATACTTAAGTGATACATATACTTACTTTGTTGAGTTGTTTTGAGGATTTGAAATAATGTACATAAAGTGCTGAGTGTAACGACTGGCATAGACAGGTACTAGGAACCCAACACAATGCTCTAAGACAAATGGGATATGCATTCTATTTCTTTATTTTTACAAGTCATACCCACCTCAGCCTTATCTATAAAGGTGGCCCCAAAGACATTTTCTGGGATTCCTTCCTTCTCTGAGAATCAAACAAGAACTTTAGTACTTAAAGCTTTAAGAAGGTAGAAAGGGACTGTCCTGTGGTTGTTAAGGTCAGCTATAGGGTCCTTCACCTAGACTTCCAAGCATCAGCATGTAGTGCCCCTGACACTCAGTCGACACAGAAGTCACCCCTTCCATGTCCTGACTCCCCAGAGACTGTTAGAGGGGGTGCCATGGTACTCAGCACTCAGATATCAAAAGTCTCAACCCCGTTCCCAGTTGGGGCTGGAGGTGTCCAACACACCTGGGGATTGGGTCCTCCTCAATTCAACCCTCAAAACACTAAAATCAGTTTGTTGGTGGAAATGCAAAATGGCACAGCCACTTTGGAACCTAGTTTGGCAGTTTCTTAGAAGGTGAAATGCACACTTACTCTGTGACTCAACAATCCCATTCATAAGTTACCCAAGGGAAATGAAAACTCATGTTCATGCAAAAATCTTGAAAGTGTTTACAGCAGCTTTATGCATAATCTCCAAAAACTGAAAACAACCCAAATAAGTACATCCATACAGTGGAATACTACTCAGCACATAAAGGTATGAACTCCTGATACATACAACATGCAGGAATCTCAAAAGCATTACAGCAAGTAAAAGAAGCCAGACCCCAGTGGATTCATGGAGAATTATTCCACTTCAGTGACATTCTGGAAAAGGCAAACTGTAGGGACAGAAAAGAGAGCAGAAGTTGCCAAGTGCTGGGCATAGGGAGAGGGGGTGATTTTTTGGCTAATGGAACTGTTCTAGGTCTTGATTATAATGGTGAT